GTCAACTCATTTCACACCATCTTGGTCTACATACGTTTCAATTGTGTTTACGAAGCAAAATTGGGTACCATTACCATTCTGCCCTGTGGGTGGCTTTCCAATCAGTGGCGATGATGAGACCAAGCCACCTCCGACGACATCTGAGCCAGGCTGTTCAAGACGCTTCAGCCCGGTCGCCTGAATGTGGAGTTCGCCGGGGCTCCAGGGCAAGTGATGTGGATGGGGTGTCGAGCCGAGGGGTCGAGTGGCGCCAACAACACCCAGAGGAGAGACAGTCACTAGAACAGGCGGTGGGGTGGCGACAGAGGTGATGGAGCGGACAGCAATTCCTGATACAGTGCTACCCAGAGGCTCGGTCGGTACGCCGCTGAATGGAGAGGACGATATTGAGTAAGAACTGTTGTTGTTAGTGGTTGCATTCGTTTGGAAGTGGGTGTGCGCCTGATAAAAGTCGGAAGGGTGTGCATCCCGGTATGGCGCGGGGTGGTGGAAGTGATTATTGTCATTGGCTACGGACCCATTGGACGTCGGAGGGATGGAGACAGGAGAGGCAATAAAGTTGTTAGACAGGGGCACTGGACGAGCAGGATGAGGAGAGGCAAGCGGATGATACGGCTGTGGAGGACGGTTGGCTGCCTCAAACTTGGAGGTCTAATTTGTCGCCGAGAATGAGAGGATAAAAAGGAATATAACGCCCAAAGATTTGAGGAATCCAGAAATGGGTGTTTAAAAAAGCTCTAAGTTATGAGGCAAATATCAGAGATAAACAGAGAAAAAATGGCAAAAAAGTTCACATGATTAAGGATAGTCAGAAAAATATCAGGCAAGCGTAAATGCAAGAAGACGGAGACATCATAGGTAGAAAACTGCTCTGAACAGTTAAGATAAGCTGGGTTTCGAAGAATCCCTTGGTAGATTGATACTGGCATACCTTTCATTTCGTCTGAGAAGTAAGTAGCCACTCAGCTGGCCACCTTTCTTGGTTTAGTGTATTTTGATGATTGTTCGTGAATAATGGTTTCTGGCTCTGAAGATATCCGTCACATGACTGACGAAAGATCTGCACGGAGTCAGCGGAGTCGTAGGACTGTGAGCCGAGGTCTTCTTCGTACAATTCAACAGACAAAAGTCCAAGACAACCCTCCTTCGGTATCTGATGGGTCCAATCTACGAAGCCCTTTCACCCACCTTCTCAAACGAAATGAAAGGTATGCCAGTATTGCTCTGAGTAATGATAGTTTATCCGCCCTAAAGTTAACGAATTTCACTGTCATCTATTCCAAAGATGGCTTCCACTAAAAAATGGACCATAACTTTGTCATTGCCTAGGTCCAATCATAACCAGAAGGGATCATGAATTGCAGGCCTGTTCAATGACGCCAGGGGCGTGTGGCTTTGAACCCAAGTTCCTGATTCAAAATGAAGTTGGAGATACCAAGTGGACCTGAGCGAAATTTAAACTGCAATCGTCGTCGAAAGATAGTCTAAGGTAGAGCTGTCCTATAAAGAATGGCTACGCTACCCGATGGATGGCTTGGCTGAAACGATTGACAAGAGTCAGCCTGGGTCGCTTAAGGTGATTTTATGATTTTGTGAAGTTTGTGTCAAAATGATACGCGGTTGTTGCATCCAAGCCGGACAGCCGTTTCTTCCTCGCCTGTGTCTAGCCTCATCAGCACTCTCAACAGGACTCGAGACCTAGTCTGGTACACCGCAGCCACACATTACCGCTCCTCCTTCAGGCATGAATAATTCCGAAACCCACTCACATCGAATATAAGCAACGCGGTCGACTGCAATGTCCAAACTAGGCAGCTCATCGACAATCCCAGCATAAATCTTATTTGAGAGAAGCTCTGTTTGCCTGGAAGGTCATATGGGCCCCATAACAAACCGGCACCCATGGCTGTGTAGCGGAGTAATAGCTTGCTCATAAGATGCGCATGATCCTGTTTAGAATCCCGATGGGGGAACTAATGAGAACTT